TACAAGGTGCAGCACCTTAATAGCTTATTTTAATTTTTATTTAGTTAGTTAGTTCGGAGAAGTGAAACAGTTGACTTACAAAGAAGTTTGTGAGGGAATCTAGACTTGAGAAGGATTGACTCAATAAGTAAAAAAAAAAAAACAACATTAAGAACACAAACTTACCAACTTGTTCCTGGTGGGAAAACAGTGATTCTCTCATCTGATTATCACTGCAGATTATCCTATGTTGTCAGAGATCAGCAACCCAAAACTCAGGAATAAAGTTGTCTGTTAAGATGAGTTGGACAAACTCAAGGTTTCATTTATTTAGGGTTTAGAACCAGTCAGGGTGGCCCTGTTTTCCTGTTTTATTTCAAAGGAAGCACTCTATTGCTTGAGCCACACCTCCAGCCCTATTTTGTTTATTTCAAAGAACAAAGTACATTTTTGTTTTTTCTTGATTGGGGAAGGTAATTTACTGAAAATAAAGGCAGAGAAAAATGTCAGGTTTGCCTCAATCCCTTTTTGGGGGTTTTTCCTATTCATAAACACAAATTTGCTCACATCAAATTGATTTGATTTCTGATTTGACCTGATATTTTATTTGATGAGTTTTATTCACATAGGTGTAAAGAGAAATATTGATTAATATACAAAGACCTCCTTATGGTCTTGTTAATTAAATGCAAAAGATTAAGACCTAACTTTTGTAACCCTAAGGTGTATTTTACCTCTATGTAGCCAAAATTATCAGTTATTTCTTATATGACTGATACTTGCTTCCTTTAATTGAGGTGTAATAAAGTGTGTTTTGTTTTGTTTTGTTTTGTTTTTTGGCTAAGCAGGTGCTCTACCACTTGAGCCACTCTGCCAGCTATTTCTTTTTTGTTTGATCAATTGATTTTTTTTGGGGGGGCGTTGTTTGTTTGATTTTTTTTTTCCAAGTCTCTATTGTAGCTCAGGCTCGTTTTAAACTCAAGATCCTCTTGCCTCAGGTTCCAGAGTGCTGGGGTTACAAGTGTGTATTTCCGTGCCCAGCTATTTTCTTTTCTTTTTTTCTTTCTTTTTTTTTTGGTGGGGCAGGTACTGAGGTTTGAATTCAGGCTACACCTTGAGCCACTCCACAAGCCATTTTTTTTTGGGAAGGGTTTTTTGAGACAGGATCTCATGAACTATTTGCCCAGGCTAGGTTTGAACCAGGACCCTCCTGATCTCTGCTTCCTGAGTAGCTGAGATTACAGGCGTGAGCCACCCGTTCCTGGCCCATGATGCCCAGCTTAAAGTTTAAAGTGTACATTCCTTTTTTTTTTTAATAACAGTACAAACAGATGCTTTACTTTAAAAAACAAAACAAAACACTGAAAACTCAGACCCCAGGACATGAGGGGTGCCAAGGTAGAAAGGATGCAGAATGAGTGCCAGGTCTCAGGCCCCTGATGCACAGTCTATTCAGCTAGGCTTCACTTCTGGCCAAGAACTTATTTTCCTGACCAAGGACAGGCCCTGCAGTCTGGGAAGCACAGGCAAAAGGCAGACATAGCTGACAGCCATCCCTGAGAAAGTAGTGAGCAGCTCCTGATTGGCAAGGGTGGGCAGGTAGAAGCCAAGCCAAGGGGCTTATGGCCCTCTGCTACAGCTCTTGGCAGGCCACATGCATGTACATTCTTAAATGTACAAGCTCAATGGATGATTGTGTAATGTGTATGTCAGCACATACCTCCTTCCAGATTAAGATGTACTTGAGTGTTCAAGTATATATTATTATATATTGCTTATATTACATACTGCTTATTAAATACTGCTTGGGGGTGTACTCAATGATACTGGCTTAGCATGCAAAGGCCTGGGTTCATCCTCAGCACCTCTTCCCCCAATATATAGAACATTCCCAGCATGCCATATGCTCCCTTATGCCTCCTCCCTGTGGATGCCCCTCCCACTGTTCTGACCTCTGTCATGCTAGATTAATTCTGCCTATTTTTGAACTTTATATGAATGAAATTATACAGTATGTATTCACTTGTGCCTTCTTTCACACATTCTGCCAGTTAAATTTATTCATATTTTTACATGTAGCAGGAATTAATTCTTTTGCTTGTGGTATTTCATTGTAAGAATACATCATGATTTATTTCTACTGTTGAGAGGCTTGCACTGTTTTCAGCTTGGGATCACTAGGAATAATCCTGCTATGTTCACTTTTGTTTACATTTTCTGACAAGTGAGTGCTTATGCACTTATTTCTTTTGGGAATAGGTCCAGGAGTAGAGTTGCTGTGACATCAGGTGTATGTATGTTCAGTTTTACCCTGTGTAGCTGTCAAGAGTTAATTCCTGCCAGAAATGTACTAGAGTTCCATTGCTGCACATCCTTACCAACATTTAGTATTGAGATCAGAGGGAAGGGACTAATGAGTACTAAAGAAACTGAAATGATACGTATTGTTGGAATGATAACCCTCTGGTGCTGAAAACAGACACACAAGAGACAGAAAATCCTGACAAGGCAATTTTCTCTTAATCAAGAGGGTGCAAGCATGTGCTCACTCCTGCTAAGCAAACATGCAAGCACAAAATAGCTGACAGTGGCTCCTCCTTATATCCCTGATGCAGTTGTACGTACCTACCCCTCACCTGGGATTTGTCCAGGTCAGAGGTTCACAGTCTTTCCCGATTGGCTAAAAGGCTTGGGGGATGGGTTAGGGCATGCAGTTTGGTGGGCAATGGAGTTGTACAGGAATCTGGAAAAAGAAGCAAGGACCCTTTAAACATGCAAGTTTAAAGATGGTGACCTGAGGAATTTTTAAGTAATCTAAGAGGATAACAAATACTTTGATAGAAAAGATCATTTCTCTTACATTACAGATTCCCTCATCAAACAAACAAACAAACAAAAAACCCAAAGACCAAAACAAAAAGTGTGAGGTCATTTCTAAGTATAACCAAACTAAGTATGTGTGTATTTGTGTGTATTTCACATTGTTCAGAAAAGGAACAATGTGATTCCAAACTCATTTTAGGAGAGTGGTACAATCTTGAACTCAAAATTACATGAAGAAGTTGGGTATGGTGGTATCCACTTATAATCCCAGCAACTTGGGAGGCTAAGGCAAGAGGATAATGAGTTTAAGCCAACCTGGGCTACATAGTGAGACCATGTCACAAACAAATAAACAAAATTAGATAAGAACAGCTGCAAGAAAGTAAAATGATAAGCCCATTTCAGTTATGACCAGGTTATTTAAAAATCCTTAATAAAATATTAACTACATGAATCCAATAGTGTACATCCTTTAAAGATGCCTGTGATCAAATAGATTTCATTCCATGCATGTAACATCAGAAAAGTTGTCAAATCACTATGTTAGTAGATTAAAGGAGATAATCGTTATGAATATATTGTAGCAGGGAGGAGGATCAGAAGAAAACAGATGAGACCTGAGTCCTGATGAAGCAGGAGGGGGGAAGGGATGGCATAGTAGAGAGAGAAAACCTAAACAATCTGAAGGTGAAGAAGGTCACATAGCACTAAGGGTAGAAGGGCACTAGCACTAGGTTGAAGTAGCCTACAGAATTGCATGTAACCATATACAAGTTAAACCTTGTTTTTAAATTTTATTACCTCTGTAACCTGCTTGCAAGGGTGTATAAGGTGAGACCCCTTTGCTCCCGGGTCTGTGCGGGCACAATGAAGCGTTGCTTCCTGCTAAACTGCCTCAGTGTCCCATATCTCAGCTAACAAACTTCCCACAACAATACTAATTGATGAAAAATTGCTAGCTCATCACCTATTTATGACAAAGGAATGCACAACACTTAGAAAACCCAGAAGAGGGGGCCGGCTCCTGGCTCCCAGAGTGGTTCAGAATCAGCTTAGCATAGGGGATGGAAGAGGGAGCCTTACCCAAAGTTAGGGAAGGAGTGGGCTTAGTAGCTGTGGCCTCTGGGGATCCCCCAATCTGCCCCTAAGAAAACTGTAGGAGGAGTTCCTAGTGTCTGTGGGGAAGGGGGTTTAAGAAGAGAAGTAAAACTTTTTTGGGGGGGCAGGTGGGGTACCAGGGATTGAACTCTGGGCCTGAAACTTTCTAGGCAGGCACTCTACCACTTGGGCCACACTCTCCAACCCTTTCTTCCTTAGGTATTTTCCCAATAGGGTCTCCTTTTAAGATTGGGCAGGCCTGGGCAAGGTTCTTCCTAGTTACACCTCCCACTTAGCTGAGATGACCGGCATTGCAACCGTGCCCCACAGTCATTGCCCATGTATCCTCCATGTTGGTGGACGGGTTTGTAGAGGCTGAAGCTGGGAGCTACTCCGCCCCCCGCCCCTCATCTCTTCGTTCTTCCTCAGGACCTCCCGTCCATCTCTGTCCAGGGAGATCAGCAAGTTTCTTCCCTTGAGGGATACCACTAGCTGCTCCCTTCTTGGGGTTGTACTTTGGGCCTCTGCCACTCTTAACTAGTGCAGCTAGCTCCTAGATTAGTGACATTTCAGGAAGTGGGGCTCCAGGAAAGCTCCAGAGGGCCCCGACCCACAGCCACCTCTATCAGAGGAGGTGCAAGTCAGGGTTCAGAGCCATTTTAACAGTCTGCGAAACTCGATGTCGTTTAACTCCTCATTGCAAGCTTAGCACGACGATGCCTCGTACATAGAAGCACTTAATGAACAGGGACAATTACTATCATTAACTCAGTTAATTTAAAAAATTAAATGTCCCAGGCACTGTGCTAATGTTTTACATGGATTTATTGGTATTTCATTTAAGCAGGTACTACTACAATTTCCATTTTGCAAATGAATAAACAAGTTTCGAGAAATTGACTTCCCAATGTCACAGAGCTCTGGGCTCAACGGAGCAACACAAGAGACAAGGCCAGAAAGAGCACACAGCCCGTCACTACGCGCGGGGTCGTGGGAGCCCAGGACCAAGATCTGTACAGCGCGACCAGAAGCTTTCTCATTGGTTTGCCAGTCGGCTCCATTCCCAACAAGCACCGTCCGGAAGTGTTTCTGTCCGCCGCGTTTCTAAAGCGTACAACCGGAAGTTTCTGCTCGTGGCTTTGCAGGGACAGGGGAGCAGCCGAGGGGGTTGTGGCCGGTTGACTCAGGTGAGGAAGTGCTCCTTGCGATGGGGGTAAGGAGGCTGGTGGGGCAGTTAAGAACGCTGAAGTGGCAGGACGCAGGCAGAACTCTGTCCTGACTTGGACCACTCTCCTTGAGGACCGCTCTTCACCCTGCCCCCACTTGGGTCTGGAGTAGACCCTCCCCGTGACTTGAGCCTGGTGCTTCTCCAGGCACTGAACTTTGACCATTGGGTGTTCCCCCATCTCTCAGGCGTGATGGCTACAGGCGCAGATGTGCGGGACATTCTAGAACTCGGTGGTCCAGAGGGGGATGCAGCTTCCGGGACCATCAGCAAGAAGGACATTATCAACCCGGACAAGGTAGGAGCGGCGTCTGAGAGCATTGGATAGGGGAAGCATTGGGTAAGAGGTGGGGGTGTGATGCCAAAAGAGAGACGGTGATGGGCTGCTCCACTTGTAGTGAGATGCATGATAAAAATGTATGCTGTAAAAAGACAGAATATCCTTGGTGAGATGGAGGAGGTGGGACATCGTGGGAGATGGTGGGGACCAAGAGTGGGAAACCTCCACGAGATGAGACGAACTAGAGAGTATGACACTTGTTAAGTTACTGGGAGGAGACCAAGATGTTGTAACAGTCTGAGAGGTGGGGAAAGGATTCCCTATTCTGACAGGTCAGGGCTCTGTCTGGATGAGGTGGGGCTGGGGAGGGGAATGACATGCGCAGACTGGGGATGCTTCTGTGAGTGGGTATCAGTGCCTTTATAGTTTGTCATTCATTATGGTTGTCATTGTACCTGTAGGTGATGGTTTTGTTCAGGGTTTGTGCTGGGCTGAAGACTTTTCAGAAAAGGGAGTCTAGATTATGGTTCCTTCTCTGTGGTTTCCTTCCCAGAAAAAGTCCAAGAAGTCCTCTGAGACACTGACCTTCAAGAGGCCTGAGGGCATGCACCGGGAGGTCTATGCACTGCTCTACTCTGACAAGAAGCAAGTATTGGAATCCCAAGTCCCCCCGCCCTCTATGCTCTGCCCCTGGCCCACTTGTCATTTCCCTAACTCCTAGTTTTCTCTTCCAGTTCTCTCCCTGCTTCCCTTCCCCAGCCAGGGCTCCTGTTTGCTTAGCAGGATACAGGAGGAGCTCAGATGTCTTGCTCCAGGACATGACTTCCTTGCTCAAGGGTATATCTGTTCCTTGGGCCCAGAGGCTCGATACACACCTTTTGATTTTAACCTTCCACCTCCCTAAACTCCACTGCTAGGGATGCACCCCCACTACTGCCAAGTGACACTGGTCAGGGCTACCGCACAGTGAAGGCCAAGTTGGGCTCCAAAAAGGTACGGCCCTGGAAGTGGATGCCATTCACCAACCCAGCCCGAAAGGATGGAGCTATGTTCTTCCATTGGCGACGGGCAGCAGAGGAGGGCAAGGACTACCCCTTCGCCAGGTTCAATAAGGTGAGCTACCACCATTTAGATATAGGCCAATACTGCCCACCTACTCTGAGCCATTTGTATACTCTTTAGTCTCCTTGTGTTAGCTCCAAAAGCATGCTCAGGCCCAAGCATGATTACCCACACAGTCCTGTGTCAAATGCATGTAGAGAAGACTGTGGGTCTTTCCTATCCATGGGGTCTTGTTCTTCCCTGAACCTACTCTAGGTTTTGCTAGCTTCTTTTGGCTTTTCAGATACTGCTGTTCATAGATGCTTTGCTTTTCTTACTCTGTACTTTCTCCCTGGCATGTCTCATTTACCCTTGGCTTCAGTTAACCTCTAAAAGTCAGTGACCCCCAACTTAATACCTCCAATCCAGAACAGTGGTTCCCATGTATCAAATCATCTCTTTCTAAAGGTTCCACAGGTGCCTCACATCAAATAGGTACCCCTGAACAGAACTTATAATCTTCCCCCTTTTTTCCCTGTTCCCAAACCTGTTCTTTTTCTTAGTGAATGGTACCATTATCTACCCAGGTACCCATACTAGAAACTTGGGAATCCTCCTTTCTCCCTTAGCTCTCAACATAGGACATAGAAGGAAGGGGGAGACAGATAATAGACATGTGAGGAAATAAATTGTATTCTTTCAGGTAAGAGCCACCAATAAAATTAAAGCACAACAGGAATGGATATGAAATGAGGTAAAGAATGAACCTTTAGGTATAAGGGAGGCGGCTTTAGATAGGGTGGTCAGGAAGGGCCTAGTGTTTGAGCTAGACCTCAGTGAGACATCTAATCATTGAGTCCTGCTGATTCTCTTTCCATAATAAATCACGTCTCTGCCTATATTCTTCACTCCTAATCCAAGTGACTGAGATTATTAAGGCTCAGCCAGAGCAGGACCGTTTGCCCAGACTGTCCCAGCCAATGCTTGACTGGAAATCCTAGCCCATGACTTAAAGCCATTCTGCAATGTAGCCTCATACCTGCTGTACTTGGAACAGCCTATACTTAAGACCCTAAAAGTACTAGGGGCTCAAACCCAGAACTTCAAATCCTGATTTCTCTCCTCTTAGCCCAGTATTTTCAGTTGCCCTTGGACAACTTCCCCTGGATGGTGCACAGGTTTCTTAGACACAGCCGTTACGATGTCACTCCGTTCCTTCATTACACCATCATCCTTAATGCCCCTCAGATCCAGTGGAAGGAGAGTCTGGAGATAGAAGAGAAAGCCAAGAAGTGAGGCATCTGAGGTAGTGGGAGGAAGGTAGGCTGAGACCAGTTGATGTGAAGACAAAATAATATTCATTTTGTGTTTAGTAAACACTGCCCAATGCCAAGTTGAGGCGTAGGCATTGAGGACACAAAAATCAGACACAAAAAAGCCTATATTGTTGAGGAGGACTGGAGGGAGGTAGAGGCAATTACAGTCTAGTGGAATACATGCTGTATTAGGAGGCCTGAAGGTCATGGAAGTTTCCTGGAGTAGATCCTGAATTGTCCTGAAGGATATCACCAGGTGGTATTAGAAAAGGCAGTGCAGTGTCCTTTTTAGGCAGAGGGAACAGTATGAGCAAAGGAATCAAGAAAATTTAAAGGGTCATGTGAATAGGATATTTTGGGCATTTCCATGCTGGTTGAGCCTAAAACCTAGGGTAGGGTGTGGTGGGCGGTAAGGCCAGAGTGGGCAGCAGAGGCCAAGTCAGGTGCTTGCTTAGCAACTAGGCGAGAGAATTTAGACTTTGCCCTGATGTCTTTGCTTAGCCACTGACAGATTATGAAGTTGGAGTGAAATGAATCAATGACCTTCCTCTCCAGTACCGTTTCTCCCTGGGGGTCCCACTCTCAGTTGGTAACTCCCCATCCATCTCCTGTTCAGGTTAGAAACCCCAGTCATTGATGACTTCCCACCTGAGCCCCATGTTCCTGTTACGGAAGCTTTAGTCTCTGTCCTCTTTGCTGTCTTCCACCAGTGCTGCCTTTCCACTGTTCACCTGCATCACTGCTAACACTGGCCAGTTGCTCTGCCTGACTTTCAGCCCTGTGTCCTCAACTGCTGCCAAGTGGTCTTCCATCTGAGAAACATGACCTTGAGCCCTTCTCCTTAAAACTAATCTTACGTTTCCTGTGACTGCAAGAACTAATTCCAGAATCTAGCAGGGCACACAGGCCTGTAGCAACTGGCTTCTGCTGACCCATAAGGCTCTTTTCATACCCCTTGCCTCACCCTTTTGTTTCCTAGCTTGCCCCTAATTGCCAGGCCCTCACTCATTCTCCTCATGGCTGTGTTCATACTGCCCCTCTGCCTAGGATTCTCTTTTTCAATCTTCACTAGTTTTCTTCTACTTAATCTTAAGACTGAACCAGGCCTCATTTACCTCTTTTCTGACCAACTCTTGTCTCCAGACTGGATCTGGTGTCAGTTGTTACACCCTTTGTCATCAAGCCTGCCACACTATTAGAATGATTATATTTTCAGCTGGGCTGTGAGCTCTCTATGTTCCCAGCATAGGTATAGCAGGCCCATGATAATTTTTGGGGGGAGCAGGGGCAGTACTGGGGTTTAAACTTAGGGCCTTGGAGCTTGCTAGCCAGGCCCTCTACTACTTGAGTCATGCCCCCAGCACTTTTTGCTTTAGTTATTTTTCAGATAGGACCCTCATGTGGTCTTTTTTTTGCCAAGGGAAAGCCTCAGGCCATCATCCTCCCAGTTATGCCTTCCATGTAGCTAGGATCACAGGTATGCATCACTTTGCTTGGCTTATTGAGCTGGGGTCTCCCTTTTTGCCTAGGGTGGCCTAAACCTTCATCTTCCTGATCACTACCTGGGATTATAGGCATTTACCACCATTCCCAGGCCAGTATTTGTTGAGTGAGTGAGTGAATGAATGAATGAATGAAAGAACATCTTTAATTGACTATGAGCATCTTGAGAGCAGGATTGGCCTGGGTTTTTGAGCTTTTTAAAAATAAATAGGAATCTGGGGCATGGCTCAAATTGTAGAGTGCCTGCTAGCAAGTGCAAGGCCGTAAGTTCAAATCCCACTACCACCCAAAAAAAAAAAATGCATAGGAGGGATATATAATCAAGCCACTATTTCTAGAAGAGGTGATGCCTGAAAAGAGATCAATAGGATGAGAATGTTATGTAGGTCAAAGGAACATGGAAATGAGAAGGTATTTTAGGCAAGAACAAAGGTGAGAGAAGAGCCTGGTAGAAACTGCTATTCATTTAGAATTTTAGGATTCATGAGAGACAGTGACTGCAGGAGGCTAGATTACTCACTTATGTGTTCATTGATTCAGTGGATATTCCTTGATCCTTATGGTAGGAAATGAACTTGATAACTCTTGCTCTTGAGGAGTTTGTCAGTTATCTAGAAGGCACTTTATTTTGGAGGTTGGAGGTTTTTAGGGTGTTATGGTGACATGTAAACTGTATGTTGTAGAATAGTGCATCTAAATAATCTGTGAAGGAGGTCTTCCTTTTTCTCTCTCCTCCTCCCCCTTCTCCCTGTTTTTCCCTCCCTCCCTTCTTTTCTCACACTTATATATATTTCCAACTCTTTTTTTCAGTGAAAGTAACAGTAAAGTTTATTAGGACAGTTACACTGTCAACTAACTGAAAGCGGGTATCTCTAGAGTGAGAGCAATGGGGTCGGGGGAGAGAGAGAGACATTTCCTGTTCCCCACATAGGAAATGGGAGCAAAAGCTCTATATTTCTAACTTATCAGAGAATGATAAAGATAAAATTATAAGAAAAAATAATACAAGTCCATATTTCTTCATATATTCAGCAGAACATGGTTACTTTATAAAAGTTTTTCAGTGCCTCAGTTTACTTTTTTTTGTATGTGGTACTGGGGATTGAACTTGGCCTCTACCAATTGAGCCATCCACCCAGTTTGTTTTGTTATAGTTTGTTTTCAGATAGGGTCTCATAGCCTCAACTGCAGTCCTCCTACCTCTGCCTCCTAAGTAGCTTGGATTACAGGTATGTATCAGCAAACTCTGTGTGGTTTTTATTTTTTATTTTTTGGTGGTACTGTAACATAAATTCAGGGCCTCATGCTTGCTAGGCAAGCACTCTACCACTTGAGCCACACCCCCAGCCATTTTTTTGCTTTAGTTATTTTTCAGGTTAGGGTGTTGGAGGGCTTTTTTCTTTGCCTAGGGCTGACCTTGGACTGCGATTTCATCCACACCTGGATTATTGATGGAGATGGGGTCTTGCTAACTTTTTTACCAGGCTGGCCTTGAACCTCAGTCCTCCTGAGTAGCTGGGAATACATCAATTCCCATTTTTACTATAGACCAGTAATGACAATCTGCAAACAGCCTTGTCCTTTAAGTTGTACTGTGCCACATCTTGGCTGCAGATAGAGAGTTGGAAGAGGACTGAATGGAGGCTGAGACCATTGAGGAGATTGTTTCTCTGATCCAGACAAGTGATGGTGCTAGTCTGGCCTGGGATGTGGCAATGGAGATGAGAGAGATTTTGGAGGTAAAGCTACAGATTTGGTGAAAGGAATTAAAAGATGACTCACAGGTTTCTGGCTGGGGCAACTGGATTGGATGATGGTGACATTGAGGTCTGGATTGGGGATAAGAGTTTGAGAGGGAAGGTGATAAGTTTAGGACTGAGCGTGTTAAGTTGGGACCTCTGGTAGGAATTGTGCAAGAGTTGGCTGGAAAGAGCAATTGTGGTCTTGAACAGAGAAGAGAAGAGAAACTTCCCAGATCCATGGCAGCATTGACTCTTTCCTTGGGTGTCTGACAGAACCAGCTGGTGGTGATACTTTTTGTCTCTGAGGGCACTTGGGGTTGGAGCCATGGGTTAACAGGCCTTGACAGGGTTGCATATAGTGGGCTAGGATTCAGGTGTTTCTATAGAGATACCCCCACCCTGGAGAGCGCTGAGGAAGTATCAAGTCCCACTATCACCACTGGATGGCAGTAGTGCTTTACATTAAGAGTTGTATGCATTAAGAGCTCCTGGGCTTTTTTTTCACTGTCTGGGGTATGTCGCTATCTGCCTGACTCCAGATTTGACCTTTGGATTCCACAGAAGTGCTTACAAGTGGACCCCTCACCTTTACTATGGGGTAGGAGCATGTGGCCTGTTACCAGGCTCTGGAGCTGAAGACAGGATGAAGTTGCTCCTGGAGTGAATCAGGCAGGCCCCAGTCCCTGGAGCCTGCTAGGGCTTCTGGTCAAGCAGACAGGTTCTGTTCTCACTGTAGGCTGCCCTCTGCAGGGGAATAGGCAGAGGATTTGCTTTGTCCAGCTGAGGGGTTGGCAATTAATAGGAGGGTCTGTGGTCATGGAGTCAGAGCCCACTGGATGTGACATGACATGACATGGGTGTGCCCCCACCTGTGTCCCTCTGTGCCAGTAGACTGTGCAGGTGCCTGTGTATTCAGAGCAGGAGTACCAGCTGTATCTCCACGATGATGCTTGGACTAAGGCAGAGACTGACCACCTCTTTGACCTCAGCCGCCGCTTTGACCTGCGTTTTGTAGTTATCCATGACCGGTATGACCACCAGCAGTTCAAGGTGAGCTGGTGTGCATTTGCCCGTGTGCCTGGCTGGTAGGCTCCATACCATACCTCTCTTGTGCCCTGGAGTGTTCACCTGTCTTATCCTCAGAAGCGTTCTGTGGAGGACCTGAAGGAACGGTACTACCACATCTGTGCCAAGCTTGCTAATGTGCGGGCTGTGCCAGGCACAGACCTCAAGATACCAGTATTTGATGCTGGGCATGAGCGACGGCGGAAGGAACAGCTGGAGCGGCTGTATAATAGGACTCCAGAGCAGGTCAGCCCGGAGCCCCACATACCTCTCCTCCAACCCTGAAACCCCTTGCCTCCATCTTCCTTGGCCTCAACTCCCTCTCCCCCAGATTTCCCTTCCTTGGCCCATCCCTTCTCCGAGGCCACCCCTGGTTCTCTTCACCTCCCTCCATTTCCCTCACAGCCCAGCATCCTTTACCTCCCTGGCCACTTTCCCTATGTGTTGCTCTTACATACTTCTCAGTGTCTCTCACTTTCTAGGTGGCAGAGGAGGAGTACCTGCTACAGGAGTTGCGCAAGATTGAGGCCCGGAAAAAGGAGCGGGAGAAACGCAGCCAAGACCTGCAGAAGCTGATTACAGCAGCAGACACCACCGCAGAGCAGCGTCGCACAGAACGCAAAGCTCCTAAAAAGAAGCTACCCCAGAAAAAAGAGGCCGAGAAGCCGGTGCGGAGGTTGAGCTCAGGGTGGAAGGGTTGCCTGGCATATGGCCCCACCTTGAGTGGAGAGCTCTGAGAGCACCGACAGCTAACAGGCTGGTGGGACTGACCCTGGGCACTTCCTGTGACACTGTGGTCCCATAACTCCTCTCCTAGGCTGTTCCTGAGACTGCAGGCATCAAGTTTCCAGACTTTAAGTCAGCAGGTGTCACCCTGCGGAGCCAGCGGGTATGTGAGTCACCTCATTTGGTGTGTTTGGGCCCTGGACTCCAAATGTCTAGAGCACTGCAGCAGGTAGGGCTGGAGCAGTGGGGGAGGTGACTGTAGATCGATGTAGTCTTGCCAGGATCTCAGTGTGTGGCAAGGCTGAAGTCACAGCTTTCACTATATTCCACTTCATGGCTGTTTCCTTTTTTGCCGATAGCTACTTCCAGGTTTCCACCCTTACCCCCTCCGCCTTTAGTCCCCTTCATGCTAAGATTCTTGTGAGCACACAAGAATGCAAGTTTGCTTGCATTATTGCAGATGAAGCTGCCAAGCTCTGTGGGTCAGAAGAAGATAAAAGCCCTGGAACAGATGCTACTGGAGCTTGGCGTGGGTGAGTGTAGGGTGGGCCCCACAGGCTATTAAACCCCTCTCCCTCGCTCCCCCAGGCTGTGGATGAGGGCTGGGAAAGGGAGAGCAGTTCGTGGTGCAGGCCTTTGACCACATCCCTGCTTTGTCCTGCCTTCAGAGTTGAGCCCAACCCCCACAGAGGAGCTTGTGCACATGTTCAATGAGCTGCGGAGTGACCTGGTATTGCTCTACGAGCTTAAGCAGGCTTGTGCCAACTGCGAGTACGAGCTGCAGATGCTGCGGCACCGGCATGAGGCACTGGCCCGGGCAGGTGTGCTGGGGGGCCCAGCCACATCAGCAGTGGGCCCAGCTCCAGCCTCTGCTGAGCCTGCAGTGTCTGAACCTGGACTTGGCACTGACCCCACCAAGGACACCATCATCGATGTGGTGGGTGCACCCCTCACGCCGAATTCGGTAAGAACCTGGATAGGCGGGGGAGTATACCCTGGCGCTATGAGTGAGCACATCCACATGCTTACACAGGCCCCACTCTCCAGTGCCTGCAAGGGAGTGGGTCACTGCCTTGAGGGTCTGTGGCCAAGGGCAGAAGTGGGTTGACCAGTTGGGGTCACTTTCTCTAACAGTGTGACATACATTAACTCTAAGTCAGTCAGCCACTGACCTTAACATCTTCTGTGTCTCCACAGCGGAAGCGACGAGAATCAGCCTCCAGCTCTTCTTCTGTGAAGAAAGCCAAGAAGCCATGAGAGGCCACTGGGGTGTGGGTGGTGCTGTGGTGTAAATAGAGCTGCTGAGTTGGACTAGGCTGCTTCTGCTTCCTTTTCCTGCACTTCTGATGTCTCTGGCAGAGAGGCTGGGGCAGCAGCCAATCCATAAGGATGGTAGTTGGGGCTTGCCCACATTCAGCCTTTAGTGGCCTTTGATCTCTAACCACTAACCAACCTTGCCCAAACTCCTACTCCTTGAACACCTATGGTTTTACATACAAGATGGCCTTACACATAGCAGTGGCTTTGGAGATCAGCAGTTTTGAGCAGAGCCTTGTGCTCAGACAGTCCCCACACCCCATGGGGACCCTGTGCATCTTTAGTGAGGGTTGTCAGTTGCAACTTGACAGCCTTACATGGAGAGGCAGCCTAGAGCATAGGCTGACTGTTTCATATCCTATTAGCACAACAGTCTTAAACACAAGGATGGCTCTGCACACACACTGAGGGTCTTGTTTCCCCAAATTTATTCAGTGGCACGTTCACAGCGGGGATTGGGGTAGACACAAGGTGGGGCCTGATCTGTCCTGGAGCCCTGGGGGCACCACACACCATGCACTATGGATGGGAGGGGGCACAGGGGGGCTTAGTGGCCCCAACAGAAGCCTGAGTACCAGGGAGGAGGCAGTGAGTACCTGGATCCCCCTAGCCCAGGCCCACAATGGGAGGGGCTGATACTGGGCCAAGACTGAGGGGTGGGGGGTGGTTTGGGCACAAAGTGTCCAACTCCAGAGGGGCCAAATGGCCAAGCCCTTGCCCAGGGCATAAGCCCATAGGGCAGCTGGGGGACACTCTGGGCGCAGGGCTGTGCCACTCCCTTTTCCCCTCTGGTGAGGAAGAGGATGATTCTGGGCTGGGCTGAGAGCTACCCTGTCCTGCCCCATCCCGTCCTCAGCCAATCAGAATGGTTTTGATGTCTGCTTGAAGATGAAGCCTCGATATGCGAGTGTCTTCATGATGTTGGCAATGTTTTTGCAGTCATCTAAAAGAGAGGAAGAGAAGACATTTAGATGGGCCCCAGGTCCTTCCCCTCCATGCCCATAGGTGCTCCTAAAAGGGTGGGGGTGGAAAGCAGAATCAGACTCGGAAGTCACAGGCTCAAGGGGGTGGGGAGGGATCCTCCACCCTGGTGGCAGCCTTTTGAGCTTCATGTAGGGCTGATGAAGCTGGGCCGGCAGGAAGCCTGGTCTTGATGCTTCTCAGTCCCATAATTCATGCTGGAAATTGGCCGGCGTGTCCCATCCTGGCCCCAGTGGTGATGTATGGGCACCGTCGCAGTAAGAAAAAGGCAGAGTAAATGTGTAATTTCTCCCTTGACGGCCCCCGGCCGCTGGGCGATTCTTCTTGTTGGCTCTGCGTGGGGACGGGCCGTCCGCCACACTCCGTCTTCCCGCCACCCGCCTTGATGTCTCCATTTCATTACTGTGTGGCCATTCATCACACCCACGGCCAGGGTGACTTTGCCGGCATTTGTGTGTGTGTAGGAGTGTGGCCCAGGACATAATCACTGGTGACAAGGCACAAGGCTTGGCACTGCTGGGCCAGGGCCCTGGGAGATAACATCTCCCCTGGGCACCTATTCCTTTATGGCCTCAGAGGAGGGCGCAGGTTTGTGCCCCTCAGCCCTTGCCATCAGTTCTGATCTACTCATGCCCTGCCTCTGTCCCAGTAGGCTCAAAGCTGGGTGATGGTCATCTTTTGGTATCCTGTCTCTGCCCAGACCCCAGGTTAAATATGCCTGGCATGCGCCAGACCCTATTACAGTTTGTCTGATATGGGTCTCTGAAAAGCTTGGATGCTCTAGGCTGTCCAGGCACCCTGGAGGCTGCAGGCACTCTGGAGACATGGCCAGGACTTACTCTACCACCACTGGCAGGAAGGAAAGCTACTCAGAGCTTGTCCCATTAGAGTAAGCCTCTGATAAAAACTGCATGTGGCTGGGTGCTGGTGGCTCACACCTGTAATCCTAGCTACTCAGAAGGTAGAGATCAGGAGGGTTGCTGTTGGAAGCCAAATAGTTCATGAGACCCTATCTTGAAAAATCCTTCACAAAAATAGGGCTGGTGGAGTAGCTCAACAAAACAAAAAAAACCCCAAAACAAAAACCAACAACAAAAAATCTCAGCACCACAGTCCTCATGGGATTGATGCTGTGATTGCAGAAGTATTGTACATGGATGTCATAATCAAGTGGTAAGGTCAAGGTTGGGTCAGGAAGCCTCTGTTCCCTTCCACTGAGTCCCTCAGGCTTACTCTGACCAGGACCTTGGCCTGGGAAAGGGCACGCACACTTTCTTCCCCAGTGAGCTCAGAAAGGGCTTGTAGGTGGGGGAGGGGTCTGGTTAGGGCTTATGGTAGGCAAGTCAGACAGGGTCTGACTTGTATGTACCTATGGTGGATATGGGTGTGGAAAGGTAATACCTTGTTTCCCCAGGGACTCAGGAAGCCATGAGGGCTAGTCTGAGGAAAATGGTGGGAAGACGAATGGGTGGGTAGTGGCGACCATGGCAACTCCAGACGTGACCCATCCCTGTGGTTTATGGGCCGGACACACACCCCGCTCAGCTGAGGCCCTGTCATTTGTCTCCCTTAGTGTGTATGCCTGTGCTGTGAGGGTGGAGGAGGGAGGGGCTGTGACAAGAGGAGCTGGGCAGTTGACAAGGGAACAGGACAGGAAGCGACCCAGGAGGGGCATTATGATGGAGCCTTAGGACTGTAATGGCACTGCTAGAGGGGCTATGATAGGGTATTTTCTTTCCATATAAGACTAGCCCTATTAGGGTACCTCCAATCCATCCCTTCTCCTGTACGCCTATACTCTGGGGACCATGGCCACTGTGCATATTAAGAATAAGTCCCCTCGTTATCTGCAATTACCCAGTGGCCACACACCTCATTTCTTCCAGCAGAAAAGAAAATTAGTTTTCTATTGACTTCATCTGGCTCCTCCCTCATTGCTGGACAAATCACTCAATCTGCCTCCCCTGGCCCAAGTGAATGTCCCAGCCCAAACCCCCAGGCCACCAGCCATCCAGTGGGCATGCACTGACCTACTTGTGCTGGGAGGGGTCCACATACCCCAGTCTGTCCTTGATCTCTTCCCATGCCACACATTGGATGACTTCACCCAAATCCTGAGCTTCCACTCCCCCTGGAGGTTACCCTCTTCAGCCTGGATCTCTTTTTTGAGTTCTTTACCATAAACTCAAATGCCTCTCAAGTACCTCTTTCTGATTAAACAGACTTAAAAAGAACTAAATCATAAATTTTCTCCCTAAGCTTGTTTTACCTCTCTACACCAATGATGGCATCACTATCCACTCAAAGTGCCCAACAAAGCCTGAGTTAGGCTGACACCTTGCCCTCTTCTCACTCCCTAATCTAATCAAATATGAACCTCTGCAGATTTGGTCTCCTTACTCTAATCATCTACTTCCCTGGCAGCAGTCACCATGAGTCATCACCTTTTGTCTGGATTACTACAACACACTGTCTTGTCTCTCCCTCTTGTACACAACATGATCTTTCTTACACAAATCTGACCAGGCCCTTCCCTGTTTAAATCCCTCAGTGATTCTCCTGCCCTCTGTTTAAAGCCTACCTTCTTTAATGTGACTTAGAGTCTATGCAAAAATTGATCCCTGTTACCCTGCCACTCTCTATCCCAAATCCTGTGTTCCAATCTCAAGGAACCACTTTTTTCTGAAAATGACAAAGTGGGCTTTAAAGTCAGAGAAACATGTTCCATTCTCATTTTCCTCCAATGGATGCATGCCATGGAGTAGTGCACCAAGTATTTATTTCTCTAAGCTGGCTCTCCCCTAGGGGTAATAATAGCTAGTGTCACTGTGAGTACTGAACAAGGTGCTACATCCCATGTCTTTGCATAGCTGTTTTTTTATTTTTAATGGCAGTACTGGGGTTTGAACTCAGGGCCTACACCTTGAGTCACTTTGCCAGTCCTTTTTTGTGTGTGATGGGTTTTTTTTCAAGATAGGGTCTCATGCACAATTTGCCCAGGCTGGTTTCGAACCACAATCCTGATCTCTTGCCTCCTGAGTACAGGCATGAGCCACTGGCACGTGGCTGCATAGTAGTTCTTTATGTTTGAAATACCTCCTTTTATAAAGAGGAGGCCAGGATGCTAGTTATCTGGTGAGAAAGTATATACTATACAATCCCTGGCAGAGATGACAAGGGCCTGTATACCTGATAAAAGGACCTGTTGTCCTTCACTCTACAAACTCTGACTACTGACTTACTGTTTACTGGAGATTCTGGAGTCTAATTTATTGCAATTCGTTCACTACAATAGAGAGAGATCCTAAGGGAGGAAGAAAGTTGGTGGAGTTGACCTTGCAAGTTGGTAGAATGATAGTTACAGGTTGTTAGCTCAGGGCTCTTTTTCTTCCTTGACGTTTGGTAAGAGTCAATGCAAATTACTGATCAGTTAAAACATAAAAGTCAATGGCACAATTAGAAGACAAGGAACTTAGCAGAAGAAGCACCATGAGTGATCTGGGGCTTTTAATAGGCCAAAAGTTCAGAAAAACCAGCAGCAGGGTGAGCCCAGTGACAACAGTCTCTTGTAGAGTCCTCTGCTTGAATCTCTGAGACCACCTGGGTTAGCAGCCTTGCCTTCTAGTACCTCTTGCTGAGCTAATGAGGCCAGTCTGAGGCTGCTATGTTGTGGGTATGGTGGGGCACAGCCTTGTGCCCGCAGAAGGGGCCTCTTAAGAGTAGGCATTCACTTTCAAATCTTAGAAGGATAACCTGTTTTTATGTTCCTGCAGGGACATCAACTTGAGATAAGATGTTCCTTTTCTGTTTTGCGACATTAATATTCTTAATGTTGGAAGTATTTTTATATCATCAAGACCATAATGGGAGGGGTTCAACCCTCAGAGAGGAGATGGGCAGACATGCATCTGACAAGGATTGATTAGTTTGTTGGCTGAGTTCAAGAGTAGTCACATATCTGGCAAAGGAGCTGCTAGTGGAAGGGTGGCTGAGATCTCTTAGGACATCCAGTGGGAATT